CTGATTTATGGGTGTGTTGTTCACTGCTGGCCACATTATCAGAAAGTCCTAGTTTAAGTAGCCTCTAGGTACTCCCTATTTATACCCATAGAATTCTTGCCAGGGACATGGGCCCTGTGCTGGTGCATGGAGGGGTCTCAAGTACTCTCATGATGGAATAACTTTGGGCACATGCGGGCTCTCCTGTGCTTACTGGGCCTTCACACCCCTGTGCTCCTGATGCAGCCCTACCCAGAGCCTGGAGAGAGGAAACTGCTTGGTCCTCACCTACCTGAGCCCTCTCCAGGCCTTAGTGTCTAGCTCTGTGCCATGTATTTTCATTGATTTGGAAATGTACTTTAATTGGAAGAATTTAAGACTGCTCTCCTTTTCCATTTTAGCTTCCTTATGATATACTTTTTTTTTTTGAGAGGTTTTTGCTATAAGGTGCATGTGCTCACCAGAAAGACAGACAAACAGAAAGCGAGAAATCACCCCCTAGGGGGGATGGCCATGCTGCGATCCCTTCTCCTCCATTCTCTTCTCCGGATCTTGGGCACACACATGCACACATGTGCGCACCTGGCGTGAATTTAAGCCACTGGGTCTGAGACTTAAACCACAGTCAACTACATGGGAGTCCAGCGACATAGCCATTACGCCAACTGCTGGTCCCCCTTATGATATACTTTCTTTGTGGGTGAACATGAGTTTTTATTTTTTCTTATTCATTGTGTGTCACAGTCTCATAAATTTTGAGGTGCTCTGGATAGAGGAGGCATTTCTCCATGTGATAGAGAGCCTTTGATGCCCTGGGCCAAGGGAAGAGATTTGGCTAAGACCAGACTGTCTGGACCCAGGTCTTATGGCTCAGAGCAAAAGCTGGTGGCCCTTCTCTGAGCCAGCATGAAGTAGGGAGCTCTGAGAATGAAGTACAGAGAAGGGACTCAGGCAGTGGGGCAGCCTTTCCCCTGGTTAAAGTGAGGGCCTTCTACAGCCTGGTACAGTACACGTTGAGTTCTCTTTGGGAAAACCTTGCTCAGTGTTCTCCTTGTTGCAAGAAAGTAGAATTGTCGGAGCTACCAGGTGATGTGGTGGTTAAGGTACTAGACTCCCACATGGCTGACTGCAGTTCAAGTCCTGGGCTTGATGGCTTGCTTTCTCATTTTCTCTCTCTCAGTCTGTCTGTCTCTAGTGAGTGCATGTGCTCTATAGCAAATTTAAAAAGCAATAATAGAAAATAATTAAATATATAAGTCTTTTTAAAAACGAATTGTCTCTAACTTTCAGTGTGAATCATTCATGGTGCTGTTGTCTAAGTAAGATCATTAATGACTTAGGAGATAAAAAACCATCGTATACAAAACTAAGTTAATTTTTCCCAGAAGGTAGTTTAAAACATTGAGTAACTGAGTCAGCAACTCAACCTAGGAGATGGCGGAACAATGTGGTTTAGAGGGAATCCCAGCCGAGCCCATGGTTTGTGAAAAACATCTCTTACTTGATACATTTGCTTGTAATTAGGAACATCCAAGAAGAAAAAACCCTCTGTTTCAGCTTTCTGGTTGTTTTAGCAAAATCATTTTTTGTTACAATCCAAAAACTGTCAGTATGTCTCTCTTTATAATCTGGCTTTAGATATTGAAATGAAACCAAGTCACAGTATCCTTGTTCTCAAAATCTTGTGTTGTAGCTGAGGGATCCCAGCTCAACACTATGGTGAAAAAGGTCCACAGGAGACCCAGCCATGGTGGCAGAATCGGTAGGGTACTGCTGCCTGATAGTGGAGCCATATGGGAAACCCAGGTTCAGATCCATAGAAGACCTGAACACACTGTGTGCAATGTTCACCCATGATCCTGGCTAGCTGAGTTGCTAGAGAAAGGATCTCAGTACAGTGAGACTGTTAAGGATATCCGTCTGTCTTTTTCTCTCATGAGAAAAAGAAATAAACACACTTTTAAAAAGCACACACAGTGCAATGCCTGGCAGTAATGTTAATTAGCAGAAAGATGTGAAAATTGAAGCGATTGTAGGACAGTAGTAAAGGTTTTAAAAACCAGACCGAGAGAAGGTTACTGTTGCTGTCAGACAGCTGATCAAGGCATGCATGGGGTGCAGATGTGGGGAGCTGGTGTATTGAGATGAACAGGGTCCTACTGGGCACTGGGAGTGAGCTGAGGAAGGAGCCTGTGGCTAAACGAGGAGTTTGTGGCTCGTCTTTAAGGTGGTGATTACCATTCTCCATGCCAGGCAGATAATGCACTTGCTGTCACATGAATGGTGATCATACTTTAATCTCTAGTCCATTGGCTGCACTTTGCTTTTGCTGATAATAACTAGTAGAACACATGTTTTGTGTCTGTTAATCTGTTTTCCAGCTGACCTTGGCTAGTGTTCTGTCGCTGACCAGTTCAAAAAAAGTACTTCTCATTAGATCACATCATTTAAGATCGAACAGCACTGTGAATTACATGCCAGTGGAAATGCCTATTCACAGGGGACCAGCAGTGAGTGTAATGGCTATGTTGCTGGACTCCCATGTAGTCAACTGTGGTTCAGGTCCCGGACCCCGTGTCTTAAACTCACACCAGGCACGTGGGCATCCATGCCCAAGATCATAAGATCCATGCCCAAGGAGAATGGAAGAGAAGGGATTGCGGTATGGCAATCCCTCCTGGGGGGGGGGGGATGATTTCTCACTTTCTGTCTCTGTCTTTCTGGCGAGCGCACGCACCCTATAGCAAAAACCTCTCCAAAAAAGAAAAAAGGAAATGCCCATTCACAGACTCTTAAATGTCAGAGCAGAATGGAACCTTGGAGATAATATCTATAAAGTTAGGACTTTACAAACACAGGCTATGAAATCAGTTTGGCTAAGAAGATTCTTTTTTTTTATAAAAAAAAAAAGGATTGGCTTTGTGGGCTGGCACCATAGCCTAGTAGTTAAGGGAACCCAATCTTCCATAGCCAACTGTGCCACTAGAATCCTGGCCCCAGCAGCTTGAAAACATGTAGGGGCACACATATGTGCCCCAAATCCAGACAAGATGGAGAAATGGAGAAGCGATTGCAGCTGGTAGCAGCCCATTAGAGAGTGCTTTCTTCCTCCCCTTTTCTCTGCCTGTTTCTCACTGACTGGTGCTTCTGGTAAATTAAAATAAGAAAGAAAAAGAATGGACTAATAACCATCTGGGATCAGCAGATGGTATAATGGTTACATCATTGGACTCCCACGTGGTCGACCGTGGTTCAAATCCTGGGCCTGGCAGCTTAGAACTCACGCCGGGTGTGTGTGTGCACATGCCCAAAGTCCTAAGAGGAGAATGAAGAAGAAGGGATTGTAGTGTGGCCATCCCCTGGGGGGTGATTTCTCTCTTTCTGTCTCTCCAGCTCATGCATATGTCCTGTAGCAAAAAGAAAAAAAGAAGAAAAAGAAAAGCAACCATCTAAGTGATATGTCCTAAGAGTATTGTTATATGAGACTTGTTTAGGAAGGGTATAGGGTTCTGTTGAAAACCCTTCCTGTGGTGGGTGTGAAGTTTAAGGGGCTCCCCTTCCCAGAGGGTGGGCTCCAACAGTGGAACTTGAGTCTCACCTCCACCCAGTTCTTGCTCCCTTCACTGGTGCCTGAACTTAATCCATCTACTGTCACCTCTTAGAATCCCTGAGAAACCTTCATTATGGGTTCCAATTCTAGCCTGCATTTGTCCTGGACAAGGCTGATCTTTTGCTCAAACACTATCAGGGAATGTGAATTTGGACTAGTTGTTTTAATAAATAAGATTATAGAGGGAATATGTATTGTGTTTGGAGGTGACTTTTCTTTCCCGTGAAGCTGGGGTTGCCTAGCTGACATGTCTTGTAGGCTGAGTTTGGCCCTGTTCTTCAGACTCAGTGAGAGCTTTTTTACCCCCATATTTCCTTTTCCAATGATGTGTTCATCCGCTGCATCCAGACTGCTGTGTTTCATCCAGCTGTGAATGAGGCATTGGCTCTGTTCACCCTCCATAGGGTGGATAATACCATACTCCGTAGGGTGGGAAGGATACTCAGAGGAGCTGGCAGTAGAACTCAGACTGTGAGCTGTCAACCCAGCACAGTCCACTTCCTCTTTCCTTGCATCCTAATAAATGAACATGGCTACAGCTCAGTATCTGGGGTGGTCTATATTACGGAGAAGAGCAAATAGTAATCTTTAATTTATGCCCTTATCTGGGCCATGCACTGCCAGGGGTGCAGCTGAAGCCAGCTCTGTAAATAAAGGACAGGTGGCACTCTGCGGGAGGCAACAAGAACCACCCTGGATCAGCACTGTGTGTGCTGTTTATGGCCAGGCTGGCTGCCCTTCTGCCTTGGGTGAGATTAGCCAGTGTGCAGGTGTTGTGGGAGTCCTGCAGCTCAAGGGTAACTCCAAAACCGCGGAAATACCCCTTCCTCCCACCAACCCCTGCCTGACCACAGCGCAGCTCTGACTCATCTCCCGCCTGTACAGCAACGAGTACATTGGGCTTTGCTTGGCTGGGACCTGTAGGCCTTTTCCTGTGTTCTCCAGAACCACAGCACTCTGTGGAATAACTAAAGTGTTACTGCTGTTTCCTAGCGATGTGCTTTATGTACATTTCACCAGCATTAACAATTCTTATATTTTATATTCCAAATCTTTAGTCTTTTCTCAAAAAAAAAAAAAAATGACCACTTTTGGTTACAGGACCTTTCTTCTAACTGATACTTACATAATTAGCCCCTGAATGCTTATAGTTTCAGAAACTCCCACCAGTGTGGGGTCAGACAGGGCTCTGGTGTGGAGTCAGATGGGACTCTGGTGTGGAGTTGGAAGGCAAGTCTCAGGAGACCCTCCTGTCAGCTCAGTAGAGATTCAGGGATAGGGACCAGTAGAGTACATGTAAAAATACTCTGCCAGGTTGAAGAACTATGAGTCTTCAGTATTGTTCCTTATAAAATACTGAATGCCTGTAAGTCATTTGTGCCTTCTAAGACATGTCACTGCTGACTTTCAGCTTTTGTTACAGCATCAGGGCTGCTGGGCCACACCGTGCACCACGAGTCACCCACAGGAAGCCAGGAGGGCGGGCCACTGCAGCTGCTGAAGAGCGAGCCATTCCTTTCTGAGGCGGAATCCCAGGAACTGACGCAGGTACTGTGTTCCCAATGCCACATCAGCAGCGGCCTGTCCTCCCCCACAAGCGACTCATCTCTCTCTTGCCTGAAAATAGGCTCCAGTTTATTTGTGCTGGTGTCTCACCTGAAAGCAGCTGTTGTTGGGTGTCCACCTGGTTTGCCATCCTCCCTTGTAGCTAGAGAGAGAGGAAGAAGGGCAGTCCCCATTGCATGCAAACATACAGTATGCAGACACATTCCCATGCTCACACAAGTTGCTCTGGCAGCCAACTTTGCTCATTGTATGTATATATGTGCATGTACTTTCTCTGTGTGTGCATATTTGTGTTGTACGTATATGTGAATATACTGCATGTGTGCAATATATGGATTTTATGTACTTGTACTGCACATATTGTTCATGTATGATTGAAGGAGTTTTTGAAAATTGTGAAAAAGCAGAATTAAAATTTTGTGCAGGGAACCAGCAGTTAGCATAATGGCTATGTCGCTGGACTCTCACGTAGTCGACCGCGGTTTGCGTCCCGGACCCGGTGGCTTAAAACTCACGCCGGGCGCGTGTGTGTGCGTGCCCAGGATCCTAGGAGGAGAATGGAGGAGAAGGGATTGCAGTGTGACCATCCCCCCTGGGGGGTGATTTCTTGCTTTCTGTTTCTATGTCTCTCTCTGTCTGTCTGGCGAGCGCACGCGCCCTATAGCGAAAACCTCTCAAAAAAAAAAAATTTGGTGCAAAAAATTTTGAAATCTATGCATAGCTTTTCAAAACACATGTTTTCAATAAAATTTTGAAGGCCTTACTGTACTGCTATCCTTGTAGTGTATGTTACTGTACATGTACTGTGCATTTAAGTTTACTATGTATATACATGCTATGTAGGTACACATACTGTATATGCTGTGCATGTACATGTATATAAACTGTGTGTACTGTAAATGTACCATATATGTACATTTTTGTGTATATGTGCTGGGCATGTGATATGTATCCGTTACATGTAATGTACATGTGTGTACTGTGGGTGCTGTGCATTTATGTGTACTTTGTAGGTATGTGCATGTAGTCCATGCATGTGTGTTGTGTATATATACTATGTGTTCTGTGTTTGGACATATATGTACCTCATACATGTGTGTATTATGCAGGGGTTGTGTATGTGTTCATGGAGAGGACATGTACTGAATTGTGTATTTGTATACTGTGTGTACTATACATGTGTGTGTTGTGTATCCAGTGGGCATGTATTATGTGTATCTGCAGGTGCAGTATATGCCTGTATGGGGGACTTCAAAAAGCTTGTGGAAAATGGAATTAAAGTACATGTGTCCTATGCATGTACACGTAACATATGTGTGCTGGTTGTGCATGTGATGAACATGTACGTGCATGTGTGTGTTGAGCGTAATGTATTCACACACTGTATTGTTCATGCATTGTGCCTTATGCATGTTCTGTGCCTATGCTGCACATGTGCATGTATAGTTGGATATGCTTATTCATCTCTTCTGTGCGCAGCACCGGGATCTCAGGAGGCTTACCACTTTTGCCTTAAGAAGTTGATATTTAAATATTTGATGTAAATATTTTTACCTTGTGTTCTTTTTTTATTGCTGGACAGTTTAATGTTTTTTTTTCTTTATAAAGTCATTTTTGAAACAATACTTAGTTGTGTCATTTCAATGTTAACTATTTCAGTATCTTTAAAAGATAAGAACTGTTTGAAAAATAACCATAATACCATTCTTACCTTTAAAAAAATTCTTTAGTATTATCAAATATCAAGTTAAAGCTCAAACTTACCATTATCCCATTAAAAAGTGTATCAACTTGTCCGTTAAAATCAGGATCCTGTAAGGTCCACGTGTACTTGGTGAAGTGCCCTTCAATGCACAACTTCTCTCTATTGTTCTTTCTTTTTCATGTGAAATTAGTTTGTTGATAAAACTAAGATGTTTGCTATGCCAAGACTTTGCACTTTGGACCTTGTGATTCTGTCCACATGGGGAGCAGCAACTCCCTGTCCCCCAAGTACTAAGTCAAAAGGTAGACCTAGGGTTCTGTCAGACATGGGCCCCACATCTGGAGAGTATTTTATGGGTGAAATTGTGCAATTCCATCAGAGGATAGGTAAAGATGGTCTATTTTAAAACAAACAAAATGAGGGACCAGCAGTTAGCATAATGGCTATGTTGCTGGACTCCCATGTAGTCGACCACAGTTCAAGTCCCGGACCTGGCAGCTTAAACTCACGCCGGGCGCGTGTGCGTGCGTGCCCAAGGTCCCAAGAGGAGAATGGAGGAGAAGGGACTGTGGCATGGCCATCCCCCCAGGGGGTGATTTCTTGCTTTCTGTCTCTCTGTCTTTCTGGCGAGCGCACGCACCCTATAACAAAAAAAACTCTCAAAAAAAAAAAAAAACCGAAACAAAAACCCTCTTTTTATTTATTCATTATTTTAATTTGTCAGAGGGCCTGTTCACTTGCTGGAGAGAGGCGATGGAGAGAGAGGAGAAGCACTCCCCTCTATGGGGCATGGTCATGCCACAATCCTTTCTCTTCCATTTCTCCCTCCTTTTGGGGGTTTTGGGCATGCACACACATACACTGAGCATGTTTTTAAGACTGCAGAGTATCTGGGACTTGAACCGCATAGTTGGTCATGTGGGATCAGCCACTTTAACCACCAGGCCATGACTGGCCCTTAAGCCTGTTTTAAAAACAAATTCTTATTTTATGTATTCATATAAGCATAAACTTTTTTGAGCTGAGTTCTTTCCTTTTTGGGAAAGAAGTATTCATCTTTGCTATGGGAACTTTTAAATGTACATCATCTGTCACTTTTTCCTCCTGGCCTTACTTAGTCATTTATAATAATGTCACACAAAATGCTGCTCTCTATTTGTAAACAGCATATTCTGCAGGTTACTGGTCACTTCTTTAGAATATGCTTCTTGACTCCAAAACTCACTTGTTGTACATCCTGTTTACTTGGGGTTTTTAAGAAATCCTAATACTAAAAAGTCAAAACTTACCCAAGTTTTTCATGACCATTTTCCTAAGAGTTTATAACAATACATAGGCCTTAAACTGATGAACTCTGAAAATGCTTCCACTCCCACTCCCTGTGAAGGTGTCTGTGGCCAAGATGCTCTCTCTGTGTCCCATAGTTGTGTTTAAGTTGAAGTAGAAACAAGACTTTGGAATGAAGAAGTAGGAATTTTACCTACTATTTCTGATAATCACCATATGGTTTGGGAGAGCTCTTTGAAACATTTAGTCTGTGCCACTATGTGTACCATGCCCTTCACCTCAAAGCCAGGGACAGAATGGGGAGATGATGTTAGGCTGTTAAGATGAATGTGCAGAGCTGATTAGAACATGACTTCCCTGTGATGGTCTAGGTTGCTGTGATCACATGGCTGTTGTCATCTATCCAGTGAGCCTGGTGGTGTTCAGTGCTGGGACTAACAGACTCCATGCATCAGGAGTCTGACATCAAGGTTCAGTAGTGGCTTGGGAGGACAGATTGGAAAGGACCCAAGAGGAACCAGTAGGGTTTGGAGGCAAGGACAGCCTACTGGTCAGATGCAATTCTTCCACGTAGGAATGACCTAATTTCACACAAAATTGTCTTTCTGGGAGAAAAACACATGTTTCTTATTTAGAGAAGAATTCTTAGCTATACAGTTGAAGCTCAAGCATATGTAGGAATGAGTTAAATTTCTGGGGAAAACAAAAATGTAAGAAATCCTTCTCCATTCAGCTGTGGTTTTTGTTGCAAATGCTATTAAAACCATTACATGGAGACATGTCTTAGTGATTTAAATTGCAGTTGGTGATGCTAAGGGGGAAGATGGTTATGCTTGCATGGGGGTGGGAGTGGGCTGTATGGGTGCCCAGCACTGGTGGTCTGTGGTTGGCTTGTCTGCTGCGTAGCTGTGGCCATGGGAGGGCAGATGGCCGGGGAGGATGCAGGAGGAGCTGTTTCACTGGGTGGGTTTGGCAGAGCACCTTGACTCTCTTCTGATGACGGCCCCTTTCTTCAGAACTGTGGCTGCTTTTTGTTTATGGAATCAATGGATACCATATTGTCAATGAAGGGTTTGGAAATAAGACAAAAAGGCACTTGGCTATTCCTGCAGGGAATTTTCAGCTTATGTGAAGCTGCTTCTTAATCTTCATTTTTCTGTTTCATCATGTATTGGTGTTTCTTTATCTTGACTTCCTCTCTTACTAGGAAGGAACCATAACCAAACCAAGCCCGGTTGGATCTGGTAGTTGAATGGGCAAAAGAACCTAGCTTTGATAGCTTCTCAACTGGTGATATGCATGGAAGTAGAATTGTCCTAGGTTTTGGTTTTCATTTCTGATAAGAAGGGATGGGTTCCTGGTAGCTTGTCACAGCATGTGTGTGTGGATTCACAGGAAATTTCTAGGTTTTGATTTTGAACTTTATTTTTTATTGTTTTAGTACAGTCAGTCAGCCTACTGTGTGTGATCATCTTTATAAACAATCAACACAAAATTTGAAAATTAAAAGAAAAAACATGTCGATTTGTTCAGTGCAATCAAAAAGTTGGCTCTTTACTAGAAAAAAATAGAAAGCTGGTAGATTGGCGCTAGAGAGAGAAAAATTTAACTGGAAGGTGGTGTAAGACTTGTGCTGGGAGATACAAGGGCCAGCGGAGGTGTGGCTCCTGGGACTCTCAGAGGGCTCAAGGGTTTCTGTATTTATGTTTGTGTCTCTGTATTAAAACCTTCACAGCTTGCCCATTAGAGCCAAAAACCACATGTACCTGCTCTGGCAAAAAGAACTTTCTGGAAATAATTCTGGTGTTTTCTGCTTTAGTGAAATAATCATAAGAAGTTAATGTCCTTTTCCTTATTTTGAGTTTCTTTCTCTTTTAGAAACTGTAGAAAGTAAATCATCATCTTTTACAACCCTACCTGCCTGAGCTGTTTCCTGCATTTCCTGTACCCTAGTATAGGTTGAATATCTGTAATTCAAAAATATGAAATC